TGATCAGAGAATTTCATTGAGAGTCTTGAGAGAAAAAGCAACGTGAGAAAACAAAAAGGGATAACCACCACTATATATATGTAATCCAAGGGGTGTAACTCTCCATCAAATTAACTCCCTTATATTTGCACTCAAGTCCCTCCAGAAATTATAGGGACCAAAATGCAATAATGAAATAATATTAATAAAAATTATATATGTGTAAATAAACATACAAATGATCAAGGACATAATTTATAGGATTCCAACATAATATGCAAATGGATGAGGCGGGAGTTCAAAGGAAGTTACAGTTTCAAGAGCTATAGGAAATCAAAAACGAAATGTATAAGAACTCCAAGATCTACAAGAAGCAAACTAAAACTTTTCATTACAAGTTGATTTCCCAAGAAGAGTTTCTAGTCAGCAAAAGGTTTTACTTTTCATTCATGTCTAAAGCTATTTCTTAGTAAGCTTACATCTTTATGGTTAGGGCCCTTTATTGCTGTTAAGGTTTATGCTCATGAAGCAGTAGAAATTGAAAGCGTGAAAACTTGTAAGCCATTTATGGTGAACAGGCGTAGACTGAAACCTTTCCTTGAAGGATATTTATGTGTTGTCTCTTGAGCAAATGTTCATTATTGTTTAGTTGGGATAGTGTCAAGGTAACGATGTAAAAAAGACGCTAATTAGGAGTCAACCAATTTTATAGCTTTATATGCATTCGTAGTTTAGTTGTTTTGTTCTGATGAGTTTCCTTTCCATGTTCCACTTTTTGAAGTTGGATTTCTACTTCCCCAACGTGCTCGAAGGCACCAACATACACCATGTCTTGGGCAAAAGTCGTCAAATCTGGGGAGATTTTTTGTTTCCTTTGTTATTTACTACTTATAGGCCATGCTATAGCGTGAATATATTGGGGACAATATATTTTTAAGTGTGAGGAAGGAGTTATTTGTTCTTAGTTGTTAAGGCTAGTAAAGTTGGGCCAAAAAAATTCAAATTTTTTGTTATTTTTGAGTAATATTTAAGTGATACACATGATTTGATTGTTTACCTACTTGTTGTATCACGAGCATCATAACATGAATGGTTTTGTGATTTGCTTGCGTAGTCATGATTAGCATATTAGAGATAGCCTTTGTAAGTCTTGTTAATTTTAAGACTAATATGCACATGCGAGTGGTAGGAGCTTTTTTATACACCCATAGACATATGATAAAAGGAACTAAAAGCAAGTATACAATTAGCCTAATATCGTCTTTCAAGTAATAAAGTGATATAGAATACTGAGTATTGTCTACAAGGATTGTAGTAAAAGCTTAATAAAAGTATAATGAAAGAAATGATTTCAGATATCGATTTTCAAGACTTTGATAGTTTGAATTAATACTTTAAATAACAGAATAAATAAAGGTAGCATGGGTGTAAGATTTGTGATGAGACATAAACACAAATTCCAAAAGATAATGACTAATTCCAGCATCTATCTTCAGGATATTCCTTCTGGACTTCCACCATTGGACTAATATTATAGCTGTCAACCCATATTCCTATGTGGTATCAAGACCAGTGACAGTGTCAAATAGTGTCCTCAAAATATATAGATTACCAAATTTCTTTGTCTAAAAATCACTCTTCCGGTAGTTTTCCATATCATTCAAGTTGGTGTGTTCTTAATACCTCATTTCTGAGTCTATCACAACTTTAACACTTTGATAAGCGATCAACATGTCAAGAATAATCAATTTGAAAAACATAGATGATAAACTCCTTTATCAGTAACTCTTCTAAGTCTACTTCCCATATTATTCGAATTGACGTGCATCCAGTGGCCCATTTCTAAGTCCATGGCATTTAACACTTTCAAAATGATCAACTCGTCAAGAAGTGGTTTTAGCTTTATAAAACTTGAACAAATAGGGGAACATTATTAATGTGAAACAATGACCACTTTCCTTTGGTTTAACATCTCATCCATTATCTTACACCCAAGCTAATGGAATTTGCTACTAATTATGGAAAGTAAATAACAAGAAATGTAAATGATAGAAAGTAAAGACATGAATTTAAATGACTGAATGTAAAGAGCGAAAAGTAAACTGCAAGGAATGTAAAGAAAATAAAGACAAGAATGTAATGTTGCAGCAATCTAAAGTAAAATACTATAATTAAAGAAATACTCAATTCAACTTTGAATTTAAGAGCTAATCAGTTGTGAACTAATTGGGATGTTTAACAAAAGACCTAGGAGCCTCTATTTATACAAAGATAGAGGAGAAAAAAAACAAAATTCCAACTAGAAGATAAGGTTCCTAAAAGCTAATATAAGAAGTAGACACGTACACTTTAGGTGATCATAACAACTACATAAGGTACCACCCACTAGAATCTTTTTCAAAATCATCAATCTATGCCCATGTAGTCATCAAAAGCACAACTACAAGTAACCACATCCCAAAAATCTGTAATTAAGATAGATCAACACTGCATGAATGTTGCAGCACAAAAACAGTAGGCACATATGTTCAAGTTAGCCATCTAATGTAGTAAAAATATGTAAATCGCTTAATTTAGATCCATGGATAAACTAATGGAAAATAACATAATAAAAAGGACACAAGGCTGGGATAAAAGAAAATAAGCTATCCAAAAGTAAAGAAACAAGTGTCTTATTCATTGAATAATCAATGCATATTAGTGAGCTTTTGAGCTATGGTTGAGCATTTTATTCAATCTTAAATCATTTTTATGCATTCATCTTCCATGTTTATGTCATTCTAGAACTTGCATTAGGACTCTTTGAGATTGTATTAGGTAATGCTGGTCTGAAAATGAAAAAGATCATTTTTGTTGCTACTTTTTTGAACCATTTATCCTAAAATACAACCTTTAACCATGCATCCCTTTTAATTACCCATTTGAGACTAACCATCCATCTCGTTATCATATACACCACCTTAACCGCTAGACAAACACTTCATTAACAAAACTTTAAGGATGAGATTCTTTAGTTTTTAATTAGACTCCTTGGGAATAAGAATTATAAACCCCCTACATCATCCAAAATGCTTATATAATGATTGTTAGAGGTTCCACAAAGTATTGAAAAGAAAGAAAAAAAATAAAAAATAAAGACCATCTTTTAGAAGAATTACAATTGTCTCCATAGTTTACTTAGCAAAAAACAAGAGCTCGTAAACTGGATTTTTTTTATTGCTTTGATGTGAAAGTGTGGGAGTAAAAAGCCTTTGCTCTTAATTTCATTCCAAAGTCTAATTTTAGTCATTTTACCAAATTTTCCCTACCTTGTGCCTTAGCCAAGTTACAACCCTTAGTAAAGTCTTTTTGATTTAGCCTTAGTGTTTTCTATTGGCATTGAAGAATTGAAACTTGAAGCAAGCTTATGATAATACATTTTTTCATGTGAGTTGATTCATCAGGTAAAAACATGTACATCTTTGTGCTAATGATTGACTACAGTATATTTGTATTCTTCATAAGGTGTTTGTGAATTAACATGTGTTCATGTTTGGCTTGTCTTGCCTGTCAACTATTATTATGTCGGTTAAGTCATGCTATTGAAGTGCTATGCATTTTTTTTTATCAACTCTAAAAGTCAACGTGTGAGTTCTACTTCGTGCTAAATTCTTAATATTTCCCAAGGACTGTCAGTGTTACAAGTGTGGGAATATTTTGATGTCCATATTTTCATGTCTCAAAAACATAATTAAAAACCCATTTTTTGTTATCATTTTGTTCCTAAAATATATTTACTAAAGCTTTATTTTTATTTTAGGAAATCCAAGCT